TTCGTAATAGTAATTTCTGCAATGACAACTAACGAAGATTTACATTTAATTTATTCGCTAAGATTTACAAAAATATGTTTAACTAGCTGCTGCCCTCGACTTCGTCTGCGTGGTATTAGAAGACATACGAACTATGTAAATAACAAAAAGCTACGTATCCCTCGGGAACCGGACATTTCTCGGGGATGAACCTTATCCCATTTGTACTCTAGACTTTGTTTTATATCTGTGTCAAATTTCAATAAGATATGTTAAACCGTTGCAGAATGATCGAGTAAACATTAAAAAACTAAATTAATGAATCCCACGGGAACCGTAACTATTCCCGGGATAAAAAGTAGCCTATATGTTCTTCAAGGCTATGCTCTAAACCTATGCCAAATGGAGATCCGTTCAGCTGTTTAGGCTACAAACGCTAACAAACATCCATCCATCGTAACTTTCGCATTTATAATATTTATATATATACAATAATTATATAAAACGTATTACCAGGAGCGCATCGGGAAGTCACCTAAGGACGTTTTTATAAACAGATTTATACTACATCCCTATTACAAACTTCGGAATAAAAATTACGACATAGCTCTAATTGAGTTCAAAGATGCACTGGTGTTGACAAGTAAAGTTTATCCGGCGTGTATATGGACTAATCAATTCGAGTTGAAGGGCCCTGCGGAGTTAGCTGGATGGAATACGATAGAATCAAGTAAGAAATCTCGTCTTTTTATGTTAGATGTTTCAATTGAGCAAATGGTCTTTGATATCGCTAATATTATCGTTATTTTATTACAGATAAAACGGTCGCACCCAAGGAATTCATCAGTGATAGCTTCGATGTCTTCACAAGGCTTACCCTCTTGTCAAAAATTTCGAATAGTGACCTAGAGAAAGGTATTACATTATATATAACATTATATTAGCTTTCCGTCTGCGTGGAAATATAAAAAACAAAAGCATTCTATCAAAAGTATTCTTCCGGACAATCCTCTACAACTGAGCCAAATTTCATCGAGATCCGTTAAGCAGTTTAGGCGACAGACTCTAACAAAAATTCATCCATCTAAATTTTCACATTTATAAAATTAGTAAGATTATATTTTGTTCTACATCTATGACAAACTTTAACGAAATCCGTTCAATAGTTTAGGTTATAAACTTTAACAAATATCCATCTATCTAAAATTTCTCATTTATGATAGTAAGAGAACTTACTGTGTTTATAGATCCTAATGCAACTATCCCTGTGTTGCGAGTCGCCAAGGTGAATGTAAGGAGCATGTGGACGTGTTACAAGTGGATGAATCAGAACATTTTATATAATCAGTTTTGCGCGGAACGGAGATCGCCGAACGAAACCAATTGCCAGGTGAAATAATTGATTTGTTATCTATAACTACTTAATATTTTAAAGGAAATATTTGTATTTTTGTATGTATTGAAATAACTCAAAAACTACTGGTTCAATTTTGAAAATTCTTTTACCATCAGAAAGGTAATTTATCTGTGAGTAAAACAGGCTATATTACTTAAATTTCTCGCGGACGACGTCGCAAGCAACAGCTAGTTATCTAATATAACAATTTTAAAAGTTACACGATGAACAAATGAAGCGTAATCATTGATATTCAGCTATTGGTGATGTCAGTCATAAAATAATGGGGATTCAGCAAAGTTTTCTTGTCTAAAAAATATACCAGATTTTAACAGCTTATATCAGCAATTTAACTATTCGTGAAGTATTAGATTGTATACTTTTTGTATTTAGTTCGGCCAAGGAACCATTTGTAAAAAAAAATAGCTCCAAACTCAATTGCTTGTATTAAAAAGTTTTGTTAAGCGATTAGAATACAGAGATATATATATGTAGGTATCAGCAGTTCATCGAAAAGTAATGTAATGTTTTCATTTAGAAGTACAATTTTCCCGCGTCTCGAGCTAACATTTGTCATCTTTTCTTATTTACATCAAAGAAATATTACAATTTCAGGATACCAGCGGTGTGCTCAGTGCAAGGATTAATATGCCAGAATACACAGACTGGCATATGCATTATTTGATTGGTGTCAAATCTTTCAATCGAGGATGCGACAACGAGAATAAAAGATCATTCAGTGTTTACACAAAAGTGTCAGTTTTCATCGAATGGATTGAAGGAATTGTTTGGGGAAAGGATGCTCGTTAGACTTAAATGATATGCGGTAATATGCACCGCTTTTAACAGACTGTGTCACACGACCCTGATATACAATGGACGTCATTTAAACGTCGGTTCTCATTGGAATATATTACCATGGTTACTCTACTAATGCAAATATGAGGTGAATACATACCGTATATAAAGAAAACTATATTAATTATTTTCTATTTATTTACAACATTGTTTTAAGTAATAAGTAGGATTTAGCAATATGGCATCATCGTCCTCTTATCCTACTCTCGTAGGGTTGTCGCATACCTGTGTAGGTAAAAGAACTGTCAAACTGTACAGTTTTAATCAACTCTACAATTTTAAACTGTTATAGTCCGACTGTTCAGTTATAACTGAAGGTGTCTAATGTAACATTACAAACAAATACACCTTTGAATTTCCTTTGTTATTATGTACGTTACAGTATCATATACGTGTTTCTACAACGAGTATAATATTGCAATAAGGAAAACTCAGCATATATTTTTGTTAAATACTTACGTCATCTTGTGGTGTTTTCGATTTCCTTATGAGGCCATAGCGTGATAACAAATTTAAAAATAGAACACGGTTTCATTGTTTGCTTTTTATGTAATTTGGTTTCGTTTAAAATAAATGATTTACAACAAACGCTTGTATTATTTAAGTACATTTAGTTTATTGAAGTAAAAAAAATCTATATTTAAATTAGTTTTTAGCTCCCCACACGACGTTTTCGATCCAGTCTATAAAACTACTGACCCTTGTATAGACGCCAGGAGTGTTTGCGCGCGCGCAGCCGATCCCGAATGACGTCACACCTATGACGTAGTGCATGGCTCCTTCACTGTTCGATGGCAAATCTATTTTCACTTGCAACGGACCTCCGGAATCGCCCTGCAAATTTGATAAAAAAAATTAACTATAGGTTCATTAAAATATGTCCCCATTAGTTACGTGCCGAAAATATAACCTATGCTATTCAGCGATAAAAAAGTTTTTAATGGTAAAAGATTTTTTTAATTGGCTAAGTAGTTTTTGAGTTATTTCAATACATACTAGCGAAAATTCAAGAATATAAATTTTTATGATATAAGTATTGATCACCTGACAAGCGTCAACGCCACCGGTTAATTTTCCGGCGCAAAGTTGAGTTTCATTCATCCTGCACCAAAGCCTAGTACAAGAGGGCTCCAAGAATTTGTCACAGATATCCGAGCTTAATATGTCTACTTCTGCAGCTTGTAGTTCAGGGGATGTTATCAGTCTTGCTAGAATAGAAAAAAAACTTAATGAAAAAATTCATCATCATTTTTTAACAGTGGTAGAGCCCGCTTTAACATCTTAGCACGAGTAAGCCGGCTCGCCCGGTGAAATACCAAGACCACACAGAAAACAGGCGTGAAGTAGACGCAATTCCGCGTTTCGTCTGATAAGTGTGGTGCTCGAGGCCCAATTTTAGTCCCTTTCCCATGTCACCTTTTTCTTATAAGGGAAGAATTGGAAGGGAAAATGGATTTGACGGTGGAGGAGACGCAGAGAAATTTCCTCTTTATGTGCGTCTCTTCCGTCGATTAAGGGTAGACAAAGCATCTGCAATTGCGGATAGCTATGAGTAGCGGTCGCTTCGCCATTTTGGCAGACTTAGGTGACCGCTTGCTCTTTTGCCACCTTTTTGTATAAAAAAAACTACATTATCCTACTCCCGTTGGGTTGCGCACCGGGTTTTCGTCCTCTATCATTCGTGACCTCAGTCATCACTCCCTCCTTAATCATGTCATCTTTGACACAACTACCACATCTTTTTAGGTCTACCTCTACCGGTGTACTCACTCAAAACTAACGTTTACTCATAACTAACGTCCTTCTTATTAGGCGGAAATACACATCCAGTAAAACGGGGAATTAACATGCTAGCAACTTGCGCTGTGCGTTCATACATGTAATTATTTACTAACGTAAATAATCAACGAGGTCATGTAGATGTTACAGTGGCAAGGTTAGTACGCCCCTCGTTTTCTTGCTTCATCTATGAATGTGTAATCTATACCTGTTTCTATAACACCCCATCCAGTTAAGGTAGCCTTTGACCCCAATGGGCTGGTGTCATGTCTCGGCCATAGACAGGCCGGCTGAACGTATTTAGTAAAATCCACATCTTTTTCCAATTCTATAATTGCGATGTCGTTATATTTCTTCGGTGGCTTGTATAAGGGATGATTTATGATTCTTTTAATTTTTACATCAACTGGATCCAATCCATTTGAAAACTGGAAATAAATATTGCAGTATTCCTAACTGACACCCCACTACCCACGTGAGAATAATAAGTTTCATCCGTCCCACGTTTTAGTCCCACTGTCACCAATAAGGTGACAGATAGAACTGTTATTAAATAAAATAAGTTCCAACCGTCCCCTCGTTGCAAAAGGTGGGACTGATGAAACTTTCATCCTCATCTCGACCCGCGTGGGGATAGAGCGAGGTGATGGTTGGGAATAATCCGAAATATTATGGTTTTACCAGAAAAATACTTGAATTACAGGATAACGTTTACGTCTGCAAATGTCTTCGTCTGAGTGGAATTGAAATTTGACTTTTATTACTGAATAGTCTTACTGATATTATAATTGCGAAATTTTAGATTGTTGTTTGTTAGAGTTTGTGGCTTACACAGCTGAATGGATCTCAATTAAATTTGACATAGATGTAGAGGATAGTCTGGAAGAACACATAGGTTTTGGATTCATAACAAACATCTATCCACTTTGCATTTAATATAAGTAAAAGTCAAGGTTAATTAAGTATTATAGCCAGGGTTAGGTTCCGGGTTATCTTACGTACATTCGCTTGTCCCAAGTTATCCCGATTTCTTAGCCCCACTTCCATTATCAGCTAAGATTAAATAACATTTTTAATTAGAAACTTACCGTATCAATAATATTTTTATCACCCAATCGTACTATCTCCGGCACCTGGTTTGCTACGGAAGTGTCTCTTGGTGATACTTTCGAGCAATGCGCCGCTGTGAGCATGAACTTGGAACTTATCAAGGAGCTGCCGCATTTGAATATCCATGTACCAGTAGAGGATCTCCAACCTACTGCACCCTGGAACCAAGGAAATTTACTCCTAAGTGCTTATGTACGCCTAGTACAATTTCCCAAGAAGTTGCGAGTCTCAGGAACTAGAAAACAGAAGGAATATATCTTTCCCTTTCTCTCTTGGAAACCCATAATGAAATTAAAATATCAGAGAGAGACATAGAATAAGAGAGTGAGAATACTCTCTCTCATTGTAATCGTAAGTACATAGGTATTATACATGCACTGATTGAGGTTAGGTTAGAGATGTATTGATATTTTATGTAGGAAAAAATCCCTTCATATTTTAAGTTGTCATGTTTTAATTTTTCAAGAATTAATTTTACGAAAATTGTCTTTTATAGGTTGAGTTTTTTAATTTTTGAAATAATCCTTTTTATTACCATGTGCGGGAATTCCCCTGGCTCAGTTATTCTTCCGCCAATCGCGAAATGTGGTTTATTAGGAAGACGTTCGTATATGTATGTGAAACCTGTAAGTATAATAAATGTTTTATTTCTATATAATAGTTGATTTACTTTTAATTACAGTGAATATTAATTTTAAAAAAAATCTTATATGTATTGCAAATCCATTTGAATTATGTTGGATACTTAAACTTTGATTAGGGTTTTCTATTTGTTTTATTTAGATTCAAATATTTAAAAATAATGAATCAATTTATGGACGGTTTCCTAGCTACATTTAACCATTCGTTAGTTTCTAGTTCGATAACTTCATGAAATTCGTTTCCGAACTACGTAACTTGAGTTTTACTCCGTTGAAAGTGTGGTCAACTTAATAACCTAAAGATTCACTTGGTAATGATAAAATAAATGAATTACTGAAACCCGGTATTATAGAAATAAATTTCGTATGTACTTACAGTCACGTTCCTGCTTGTTGCGGAGTCTCCTATTTTCTAACTCCCAAATATATTCATAGCATTCTGTAAAGATAGCATGTTTTAAAAAACTTTTTCAATAATACTACGTTAGTCAACAATACAATAAAAATTACACAATACTCGTATAACTATACGTTAAAACAAAAACTAAGATAACATTTTAGTAGACATTACATATGTAAAGAATTATTTAAAATTTATGTTAAGTAAACAAAACTTTGTTGAACTTATAACATCTTAAATGGCATCTAGCTAATTGGCTCAATTATAAAAATAAAAGGACAGACAGATAGACAGGAAAAATTTTATAACAATAAAAGACAATTATAAAATTATTACACAGTAACTAGCGATCTGCTTCAGCTTCGTATAAATATCCTATATCTTTTCTGTCATATCCATACCCTTCCTGGTTATAATATAGCCTTTATTTCTCATAAATATCTATCTAATGTCGAAATCATTTTTGATATCGGTTTAGTAGTTTCGGAGCCTATTCTGTACAAACAAACAAACCATTTGTTCCTTTTATTAGTATAGTTTAAAAAATGCATGGCAATAAAATAAATATACTCACTAGCTCCACTAATTCTCGGTCCGGGCATTTTAAAAACAGGTTTTTCAAGTTCTTTATATATGCAAGGATTGTTCTCATCATTTGTATTATTTTCTGCTGTCACTCCAGTCTGGTGAATTTAATTATTTCATGCAATTAAATTACATAGATACAGAGGTGAAAATACTAGAGAAACTATGTATAGATCGTATATACAGAATTTTAGCCTTCAAGAGGCCATATCTTAATCCCCAGAATAGAGAAGTTTAGAAGTGGATTTGACAATACGCATAGGAAGTGGATAACTCCGTTTTGTGTGCGTCTCCTCCTTCTTCTATTAAGAGCGGGCGTACACCTTCGACTAAACTATCACACAACTGTTGTTTGATTGTCGATTGTTTTGCTGCAAAATCGACTGTTTAGTTGCACAAATAAAAATCGAGTAATGTGCGCACAACCATATATGATAAATTCATAGGTATCGAAGTGCGAATAAACAGTTGTGCGATGGTCTAGTCAAAGGTGGGCATGCTCTAAGCTAGGCAACGCACTTGCAATTGATGTCTATGAGCAGTGGTCGTTTTGCTTGGCGAAATCAGGTGGTCGCTCGTTAGTGTGCCACCTCATCATATACAAAAAAGAAGAATAAAGAGATTTAGATATGATGGCAGATAGAGATGTATGGAAAGGTACATAAAGTTTGTACTTACACCGAATGTTGATATGGAATGAAATTTATTATTGCCTGATGCCGTTTGTTTATATTGCTGGAAGAAATTCATAAGTTTGAACAAAATTCTAATCAGAAGACATGCATAATTTAAGCTAACAAAAATGATAGATTCCGCATTTTATTGTATGCTCGTATTGTAATTTTCGCCCGCGACTCCGTTCCTCTATAACTATACCAAATTTCGTTGACGTCCGTTCAGCCGTTTAAGCTATAAACTCTAACAAACATCCATTCATTTAAATTTTAATATCTAATATTAGTTAGTATGATTTTATATGATAAAGAAAAGCTTCATTAATTTTACGCAAATTTTAAATTTTATAAACTTACCCGTATTGATCTTGATAACGGTTTTGATTCATTCAAATTATCTGGTGAAATTCCCTTCACAGTTATAACTATCAGCGTTATTACTGAAAAAAAGACAATTTTTGACACTAGTACATAAACTTACATATATTTGTAATATGAGATATTTTAAATTGTTTGTAAAAATAATAAATAAAGCTAACAATTCGTCATTATCTCACTCCCGTAGGGTCTCCAAATAACTCTATCATCCGTCATCTCAGTCATCACTCCCTTTTTGATCATGTCACCTTTCACGCAATATCCATCTCTTTCTAGGTCTACCTTTACCGATGTACCTCTCCACATTCATAACTAACGTCCTTCTTGTTACATACGAAAAAAAAACAACGCTAACTTTTATTATTACTATAATAATTACATTATAATTATTTCGATGACTAGTAATATTTGCTTATAAAAGTTTTAAAACATGTAAAACTTACATAAAAATGTTAATAATATCTTGTCACACTTCATTTTGTGTATTTATGTACACTTGAACATATTTTAAATTTATTTAAAACACTGTACACAAGCAATTTGTTAAGATATATCCTACGGTGTGGATATTTATTCAAAGAGCATGTTATAAAACCGGCTCTTTGTTAGCAGATCTCAGGTGCGCTAAACCTGTTTTTAACCAATTATTAAAAATATTCGAACTTTGAACGAACTCGATGGTTTACTACATACCGGTTTTCAATTGTTACTTAAATAATATATACTTTAATTAATACTTAATGTAGTAGACTTTATTTAACGGGTTAAAAATCAGTTTATAAACAGTATTAGCATGACAACATTGAGCGGATGTTTTAGTTTTACGTTTGACAGATAATTTTATTTCTATGTAATTTAAAAGCAACGAAAGAAACAATAATCGAATCTACGGAAAGCCACATGCGGTAGCTAGTATTTGATAACATACCAATAGTTGAGTACACCTGGATATTCGCAACCGATGCGTCTGATAGAGTCGGGACTGTACCCTGCAATGGTACGATGACATTGTTTATTACTTATGTTATTACGCAACTTACGGTTATTTTTCTGCTGTCTCTAGTATTAATGTAGTCATATTCTCATAATTAACTAGCTAAGTCGTTGTCCTGTCTAATTATGAATGATTGAATACTAATATTATATACCCGCGACTTCATCCACCCGGAATCATACTTCATACTAATATTATAAATGCGAAAGTTTAGATGGATGGATAGGTGTTTATTAGAGTTTGTAGCTTAAACAGCTGAACGGATTTCAATGAAATTGGTATAGATGTAGAGGATAATATGAAAGAACACACAAGCCTAGTTACAAAATAAAATAATAAATAGCCTGTATCAGGGGTGGCGAACCTTGCATCAAAGAGCCATTGTTTGAAGAAATGTTTAATGCGGTCTTAGTCGTGCCATCAAATGATTCTGTCTGATTATTACGTCAAATTCATGGTGCATGGTAACGACATCGCGTTTGATTTTATACAATACATGATTATTTGCGTAGTGAGTTTATGATTATCGACGTGCCCAAAATATTGTGTCATGTGCCATTTATGGCAGTCGTGCGAGTGGTTCGCTATCCCTGGCCTATGTGCTCTGTCTATGATTTTCTACATCTGTGCCAAACAAACTATTTATTATATACCAAAATTAGGAGGTTTTCTTCCACTTTTACCTTATAATGATGTATGGTAAATGTCCATGTATGTGATCGCCATAAACAAATACGTGAGCATTTGTCCGTCTTCAATTGTATTACTATATTTGTTACCATCGTGTAAAATCCCGTTACAGAAATAAATTATTTAAATCTACAAATCGGGACTAAATTTTACATGACTAATTTGTGGTTTTTTCAAATTTCCTAACGCTTCAACATAGATTTGTTGCTGCTGCATTTATTCTTTTACTTGTGAACCTCTCTTTTATTTACTAATATCTTGGAATCCCTGGAGATATAATAGCTGAAAGTGTGATATCTCCAAGCAGTTAACTAGCAGGAGATGGCGCTTACGATATCATTTTGATGAAGACCAACTTAGGTCGCCCCGTTACCGGAGTATTTTAACTTTAAGTTAACTTTGACAGCAATATCGTATTTTTAGATTTTTACTCATAATGAGGGATATGGTTTTTATATGTCCATTTCGTTGTGATCTTCTGGAGAAAATATCTGACTTCTTAGTAATGTTATAAATGTAATAGTTTTGATTAATAAATGGATGTTTTTAGCCATGTATCTCGAGAGCGACTCAATAGATCTCTCTTGAATCGCACAGATAACATAGTCTAGAAGAACGCAAGCTTTAACAAGTCATATTTTCAGTCGCGGGAGACAGACAGTATTGTAAAATAGTGAGGTATGAGATATTATTTCATTCATAGTCTCCTAAATAGTGTCAAAAGAATGTAGTCATTAAATATCTCTGCATACGTAATCCAGATATTTTATTATTTATCCCGGTCATGTATTACGTATCATTACGTAAATTAAAACTGTTGGGGTTATCCGGTGAGGGTTTTTGTGGTTTTTATAATTGTATAAATTAGGTACCCTTTAAATGTATGGTTAGTTTTATTTTCGATAGAGTACGTCTAATATGGAACTATCTGTTTTATTGATTTTTTGTGCTTTTGGTACTATATTTTCTGTTTCTTATTAAAAACTTAACGCTTATTATTTGGTTTTATTAATTTTCTTCAATAATTTTTTGCAGTGGCAACAATTCAGTCAGCAATAACTCCTATGAGTAAAAACGTAAGTTAAACTTTTGAGTATAGAGTATATTTTGGTTATTAATAAATGAACTAGTGCTTGATGTTAAGTGATGTATTATGAGATTCAAAGTTTATGGCGGCTCGTGGTTAGCTGCGGCCAGCTAGTGGAGAAAAGCGCATGATCTCGCACACCTTTTCGACCCATCGATGCCTAATACTGTATTTTGCGTACTAACATTGCACACCGCTATTAAATGTGGTTCGCACTATATTCTATTTATATCAGTCTCACTGTTGATCTTAAAGATCGTTTTGAGTTCGAAACAATGTAGTTAATAAGTTTAATATTTTCTTGCATATTATATTTTCAATTAGCTACACTAATGGGTAATAAATCTAGTGATTTTTTCATCAGGAATCATTAGCAAGTAATGACTTGACTGAAGAGGAATCATTCGAAGACAGAATCGTATTTTCTGATGAAGTGGACGACGGTAAGTTTACATGCTTTTTTTGTTTAATTCATTGTTATGCAGACGATAGCACCGGTGTACATTGCACAAGGCCCGCGCGAATGTTTCTCGGGTCACTGTCAATAAGATCCGGACCAAACTTGTGTCTGAGCCTCCACCTTTTGAGAGAAGTCTCTGATTGAGGTCGACAAGGTCTTGTAGATTTCAATCCTAAAAAGACACAAGTATGGGCAATTACCGCTAAAAAGATCCCTTCGTTGTCAATCTTCAGTTTGAGATCACTCCCGTATTCTCGGTAACAAACATCCATTCTTACAGCTAAACTTAATTATGTATAATCATACTTCTTAGTAAATGCGAAGGTTTAGATTAATAAATGAATGAAGAGTTTGTTGCCTAATCTGTTGAGTAGATATTGGTGAAATTTGGCATAGATGTTGATATTTGGATAATCGGAGACGAACGCAAATTACAAATATAGTATTATATTAGTATATGTAAAGTAATACAATATATAGTGTTAATTAAAAAATATTTTAACAGTAACATTTATTTTCAGAACGTCGAGATCGGTTACGGAAGTTACAAGATGAATCGGTAAGGAATTAGTAAAAATACAATTGAATAAATCTAATTGTTCATGTAGGTCCACGAACTCCGATGAATATTAATATTTAACAATAAAACATAAGATTCACCAATTAGAAAATATGCTGATATTCCAAAAAGTTATATTCACTTTACGTAACGTCATCGTGCTCTAGGACCCTTCCAAATTCGTTGAACCGGTCTTAAAAAGACCTACGTGATAGGATGGCCATGATATGACTTTGTTTCCAGAGATCGATGACTCAGGATGATTTAAGTAGGAACGGATATAAGCAGGGGCTTATCAGTTTTTCCTCAACCATGGAAGAACACAATTATTTTCTTAAAACATATCACAATCTGTCTAAAGCAAGTAAGTTAAAACTATTGATCTGTGTTAATCAATTCACAGAATATGTTCACTAACTTCGTTGATTGTGTTTTTTAGAATGTTTTCAATATAAGAACGAGCTATTCCGACATCGGTACGTAAAAGAAGAGGAAGGTTAGTAACAAGCTGTTCACGCATACTATGTATAGAGTTGTTAACAGTGGTAGAGTTCGTAGCAGCATTAGCTTCTACTCTACGTGCTGGCTACTAAGATGCAATATCACGGACATGCTGAAGACAAGTGTGAAATGAAATTAATTCATTCTGTGTGTCGTCTGTCAAGTGTATGTGCCGAAGTCCAAATATTAGACTATTCCTCTCATATTCTATTTTGACAAGGGATGGGAAGGGAAATAAATTAGAAGGAATGTATAGGACGCAGGAAACGAAAATGTCTCTTTTCTCTATGTGTTATCTTAAGAGCAGTGATTTTGCAGCTTCTAACTTGTGGATGCATATATGTATATTGCCGTCACGTCAATGTTGACTGTTTTTTTGCCACCTTCTACCATAATAATGAAGTACCAATTATATGGATAATTTTGTCAGTAAGTGAGAATTAATTTGATAAATTTTGCAGGTGTTAACTATGGAATCGTAGGTGGTGTTAACACAACTATCAAAGAACATCCATACATGGTAAATATAATTTATCTTCTTCGCGTTTCTATTTAGAAATGTCTCTAATTTACTAATTAGAGACATTGATGTACTCATCACCACTGACTCGATAATACTGGCGTTCTCATTATTTGTGAAATAAATGGAGGTAACAGGTCTGGTAACTGTCTTAAAGTTCAAATTCTATGTTACGCTGACGTTGATATAATTTAAAGAAACAATATTCAAAGAAGAAATTTCTTTGGAAGATAACGACCGAGAGAATTGTGATTGAAGTATCAGGGTGTTTTTTTCGTATATCCGAAGATGGTAAATGAGGAAGTGGCCACCTTAGTCCACCGAAATGGCGAAGCGAAGCGTGCCTTGACATCCTCAACTGCAGATACGTCGCCTACCCTTAACTGACGGAGAAGGAGACGCACATAAATAGGATATTTCCCATTGTGTGTCTCCCCTGTCGTCAAATTCACTTTTACTCTTAAGAAAAGGGTGTCATCATTTAGTAATTACTAATTGTTTTTTCAGGGTGCTCTAGGATATGAAGTGAAGGAAGGCAAATTAGACTTTTTCTGTGGTTGTACCCTGATAAGTCACCATTTCGCCCTAACTGCTGCACATTGCAGTTCTAAACCAGTACCGGGCAAATTACCTTTAAGACCAAAGATTTTTAGATTCGGAACTACCAACATTACAGTAAGTGTTGCTATTCTAAGATCCTTATGACATCTCCAAAGGAAGACTAATGTTTTCGTAAGTTAATTGTTGATTTATAGAAGTAGACAGTATTACCTCAAAATAGTTAGGCAGTGTAAACGCGTATACATCCATCCATCCGTCCACACTTTCGCATTTATAATATTAGGAAGATGTATATATGTCCAGCAGTGGGCAGACAAAAGCTGATGATGATGAGTTTTCGGAACATGACCTGGTGGCCGATTCCTTTTATTCTTGTATCATACAGACGTTTTTTTGATTTTTAAAATATCGTTCTTTATTTTCGCAGAAACGTGGTCAAGACTACAAAATATTAAGAGTTATTAATCATCCCAATTACAAATCTCCAAGCAAATATTATGATATCGCACTAGTTGAAACAAAATCAAAAATAGTGTTTAATGAATTTGTGCAACCTGCTTGTCTGTGGCGGAACGAGGATACCAGCAGTCTCACTCACGTCTCTGTGTCGGGATGGGGTGTTACAGACAAATATGGTAAGGATGATGGATCGCATTACGGCTAAACTCAAAATCATTTATAGATTTAAAGATTTTTTTTTAAATTACAAGATTTGTTACAACTAAATAGTGCTAGTTATTTTATTAGTTATAATATTACATTTCTTTAAGATCGAAAGGTTATTTTATAACTTTGCATAACAGGGAATAAAAAATGAACCATTTATCATTAATTGTATGTTTCAGATTTTGTTAAATTAGAAAAAAAAACATCATTTGAATCCTTAAACATTTAAATTTAAAAATAACAATTACCTCTATTGGTTCCATAAGGACGTAAGATTCCATGTTTGTGTACCTTTTACATGTAATGAGACTTATAATGCTATCCAGTTTTGTTTGATAGAATATTCAGACGATATCAACCGTATGTACATAGCTAGTTATAATTTAAGGGTTTTGATTAAAAAAAAATTACAGAAAATTTAAGAAAAAGCGATATTCTGCAAACAGCTCAAGTCGATATTGTGGATAAAAGAATGTGTAAACTTCTAATAGATAATAAATCACGATTGTCTAAAACAGTAGAAGATCATCAAATATGTGCTGGAAAATTAACTGGAAATATTGATAGTTGCAAGGTGAGATTCAGAAAAAAATTGAATTTGATAACTTTAGCCCGCTCTTTGACATGATATTAAAACATACTTATCTGACTTAAGAGTTTTATAATCTAGAAATACACCTTTTATTTTCATCCGATGATGAAATATTGTTGACATCGAACTGCACTTTGTTTTACAAAATAATTTCCAATAACTCTATCACCTAAGTCATTAACATAATTGTGATTCTACAATTTATAACTTTACTCAAAACAACAACATGCCATTAATTTGTCGGAATAGTTGATGAATCTACGAACGTAGTTAAGAATCTATTCATACTAACAAGAGCTTAGAAGAGTGTATATTTTTTATAGCAAATGAAATTGAGCTTGAAGTTGGATCAAGGTTTAATTTTACTTTGCACGTCTTTTACCATAAGAAAGCGTAAAAAAGACGAGCAAAGTAATTTAGTTCAGTTACTTTTATCGATTGTTTTTAGGGCGATTCCGGTGGACCGTTGGAAGGATTTTCAGACGATACCACGTTTGTCTTCGGCGTTACATCTTATGGGTTGCACTGTGCCACAAGAAACACACCATCTGTTTACACAAAAGTGTCTACTTTCGTACCTTGGATTGAAAATATTGTGTGGAGATATATAGAGTAGTAAATATCCGATTATGAATTGTAGAAAGTTATTCTTAATGATTATATGCACTCTTCTTTTTCTTCACTTAATAGTTAATGTTATTGTTTTAATTTACTGAAGAAATAAATTAAAAAGGATTATTGAGCAAAGTATTTTATTTTCATTCCTTCAATAAACAGTCATGGGGACATAGGAGTAAACCAGAAAGTGTTAAGATTTATTTGGGATGACGATACAGGTAGAGAAAGACCGAAGAACGTATGTATAGGTTGTGTAAAAGAGGAAATGCTTAAGTAGAGAGTGGATTCAGATATGATGGCTGATAGAATGGAAGAGCAGCACATACTGTGCCTACCTTCTGTACGGATAAGGGCAAGTTGATGATGATGAAGTAACAAACTGCTAAACTGCTTAAAGCAGAGTACAAATAAATTTCAAAAAATGCTATCAGAAACATTCATCACAGCTCACTAGACGTCCACACTGAGGGGCTCGGAGTTTACCCCAAAATAGGGTCGACTAGGCTATAGTCAACCATGCTGGACCATTGCATATTGGTAGACACATGTTCGAAATAAACATAGAAACGAGGAAAAAACAGGTCTTTTCGAATGATTATAATAACTAATTGGTAAATACACTCAAGAGCATTAAATCCGGGTCACATAAAACAAAATCTATAAGTTTCGTAATGCTAACTTAGTGAAATAAACGGTGTTTAAAAGGTAATTAAATACTCCTTAAATGAAGATATTAAAACTTCTGAGTCTCTCTCCCTCCCTCAACCTCTCTCTCTCTCTCTCCCTCTCTCACAGAGGTATGGGAGAATATTAACTTGGTTTACTGCATACTAAAACGCGTAAACGAAGTAATGGAAGCACGAGGAGAAATCATATTGTTGTATAAAATGTCATGTTTCTTTTTATTTTTTATTGATCGATTTCCCAAAAGAAGAAGGTACTTAATTCAACTGTATTTTTTATGTCAAATCAGCAGTTTTTCATTTATGTAATTTTAATCAAATAAATGTCCCAGCTTATAAATATTATTATTTTAATTTAAGGGGTATAATATTGTCTATTAAACATCGTTTATTTCACTAAGTTAGCATTCTTAGTTTACGAGTTTTTAGTTTGTTAAGTGACCCGGATTCAATGCTCTTGAGTGTATCAGGAATTGCCGTATTGCATAGTAACATTGTACATCCGCAACCGTGAGTTATGGTTGCGGTTAGTGACAGAAGTGATGTTTTGAGGTATTTTATAATTTATATATTTCGTATCCTTATGCTGTCCAGTTAGTTGTAACGTTGACGCGTACCAAACCATATTTGTTGTTTTAATTATTTGATAATGAAACTCTCCTTCTTAATAACGTTATTTGCTGTTGGTAGGATGTTTTACTTTTTACTATCTAAATTTAACATACGCTCGTTTTTATTGAATATTTTTTACTAACACAAGCCTCAAGCTTATTTTAAATGGTCACAGGAAATGTGTTTGAAATTATCCGTAATTTCCTATTTTCATCTGTCAACTAATATTTGTATAAAATCTGTGCATATTAGTGTTTTTGCCTATCAATATTATTTTAAATGTTTTTTCAGTAACATCAATAGAATCAAGAGGGCAAGTAAATGTAAGTTAAATTTTGAAATTATTTGTCAGTAATTGATTCCGCAGTACTGTTGAAGTTGTTTTCTTTATGACTTTTAGAATGGCAAAGACCTGAATTCGGTGAAGAAAGTTACGAGTAAGAATACTAATGAAGACGGAGATTCTGATGAATCTACAGAATACGACGACGACTGTTTGTAAAACAGAAACATAATTAAATGCAGTCATAGTGTTAAACGAAACTCTGCTTGACATTATCTAGACTTTTCCATTGCTAATTAGATTTAAAATATATTAACATAGTCTAATTAGGTTTAGTTAAACAATAACATTTATTTTTAGGGCGATCGACCCTAACGACTCCAGACCCAAAACGCGTTGAACGCCTTAAGTCGCTACAGAAAGAATCGGTAAATTTCTTTTCGTATTACTTAAAATTATAATCATCATCATCCACTTGCCCTTATCCCTTATGGAGGGTCGGCACAGTATGTGCTCTACTCTTCTATACATCTCTATCAGCCGTCATATCTGAATCCACTCCTTTCTTAAGCATATCCTCTTTCACACAATCCATCCATACTTTCTTCGGTCTTCCTCTCCCTTTGTAGCCATCCACATTCAATCTTAACACTTTCTGGTTTATGTTTATTACTTTAAATTATAATATTAACCGATTTTATATTTTAATCCCAAGTAGGGCTGGCGACATGCAGGTTTTTGATACTTCACAAAAACCTATCGCGCCAACTCTACGGGAATAGGATAAAAAGGGAAATGGTGATTTTAAATCGAATATTAAATTTAAACTAAATATGTTCATAATTAATTATTTAACGGCTTACTCACGTCATACTTTTTTCCAGTGACGGCACCGACCAGTATATAAATATGTTCATGTTTTATTTTAGAGATCGATGACTAATGAAGATTTATATGAGAGAGGATATCCAGAAACCGGATTAGTATTTAATTCTACTACAGACGAAAGCATTTATTTCAGTACGAAATATAAAAGTTTATCGGAAGCCAGTGAGTTAAATAATAAACCATAATTTGAATAAATTATATAAGCTGCTGTACTTAACTTATTTACATTTTACAGAATGCTATCAATACAGGAATCAACTTCTTAGACACAAATTTTTAAAAGAAGACCAGGAAGGTAACTAACCAACCAAGCATGTGACCTAACGTGTCGCAAATTTAAGGAAATCTCAAATCTTAAAGTGCTATTGACGGTCTTGTGTAAGCTACACACGTTAGATTTTAATGACAGGTAGAGTCTAGCATGCTAGTAACAAAATTTATTGCTGTGCAGGATTACATTATGGTCAGTGCCTTAACATAACCGTCATGCGAAACCTAATGTTGGTAGCCTACATTAAGAACCCAGAAACAAAGATAACTGGTATGAATTCGACTCGTTGTAAAAAAAGTTTAGCAGAAAAACTCTAAAATGATGCACATTCTGACTTCTGATTGCTTGTAAATTTGTTTAATTTTCAGGTCCTGGCTTTGAAATCGTAGGTGGTGAGGAGGCATCAATTATAGACCATCCTTATGTGGTAAAAATTTTTAAATAACTTAAAACTCTTCGTACATCATCAATTTGCCCTTATCCCTAATGGAGGGTAGGCACAATATGTGCTGTTCTTCCATACATCTCTATAACTTCAAACTCTGGGTACACATGGAGATATATGTTTTCGAAACCTGCCAGCCGATTTTAGTCGCAAAGCGAATCATAAGCAATAAGTGTGTGTCAGGCACACTTCGCCGACATTTCTGTCATTGCCAAAGCCGGTCGCAACCTGAGGGTCTATCACCAATGTATAACAGTTGCGAAAACGTATTCGTATATCTACAAAATTTGCATGAGATTTATTAGTGTCCTTTACGCGGTATACGAGATAAGATTGATGAGATTAGTTAAATGTTCACCCGAATATCGTGATAAGCCCTCTTTGTGAAGATAGTCGTAAGAGACGTCGCTGCGATTTTGAAGCAGACAGAGCAAATACAGTTGATAATACGCGTCGACTGTGTAGTCGCTACGCGAGGATACACTAGTTTTAAAGATTCACTACGCTTTATGTACGAATGCTCTTACAAACTTCGAGTTATATTTGATTTGTTATCAATGTTTTATTTGATTTTGCGTAGGTTTACATGACATCAACAGTTTAAAATGTTGCGGTTGATAGTTACATGAAAATAATAAAACTAATAGAGCCGAGCAGGCAATATTAAAAAAAATACAAAAAAAAGATCACGTGCTATTTACTCGTTTGTTAGCTCTCTGCAATTTTATTAGTGACTAGCTGTTGCTTGGGACTTCGCCCGCGTGAAATTAAAAAAATAGTAAAAATGTAGCCTATGTTACTGATTGATAACATAGCTTTTAAATGTTGCAGTTAATTTTTTAAATCGGTCCAGTAGTTTTTGAGTTATTTCAATACATCATATCTTATAACATTGATGATATAAACTAATTAAAGACTGTTAGTGAAGCGGCAGTTAGTAATAATTATTAAAATTTAAGGGTGGCCTGGGATATGAATTGACGCGTGGCAAATTGAACTTTATCTGTGGATGCACACTGATAAGCCATCACTTCGCATTGACCGCTGCACATTGTGCGTCAAAAAAGAATAAACGACCAAGTATTGTTCGATTCGGAACAGACAACATTCATGTAAGTTTTGGGTTAAAATAATGTTAACTTTAGACTAAAAAATCTTTTGGAAATATTTATTCATCTCAGATTATATCTGCATCTAAATTTTATGTATATGTATATATATTTTAAAACATTAATATTTACAATAACAAAACACAGGTCTATCTACTTAATCTAAGTCCCTTATGCATGTTTTGTTCGACTTTACATTGGTCCGGTTACTGATACGACACGACGACCTTGCAACGTAATAGATGTGAAAGAAAACAAAGGAAGACATAGACACAACAGGTAAAAGTCGGCGTCGTGTAATATTAGAAAGTTAAAAATGTCTCAAAGGAGTGAAAACTGGAAGTGCCTCTACCGATAAAGGCTACTACACTATTTCTATCTAAAGCTTCTACTTTGCAGGAACATGGCACTGACTACAACATTTATCATGTTAAACAATACCCTACATATCGCCATTATTCGAGTAAACCGGAAGATTATGATATCGCACTCGTTCAAACAAAATCGAGAATAGAGTTCAACAAATTTGTTCAACCTGCCTGTCTGTGGCGCAGCGAGGACACTACCAGTCTTACTCACGTCTCTGTGTCGGGATGGGGTACTACAAATCCAAGTAACACGATTACGGTTTATTTTAATATTATTCTATTCAATATTTTAGGATGCCATATCCTTTTTAATGTTATAAGGTGACAAATAAGTAAACATGAATCTGGGTTCGCTGAAATAGCAAGGCGACCCCCACCCGTGAATACCCGCAACGGTAGATGGGTTGCCTACATGGAGGGGATGCAAAAAGAAGATATTTCCCCATCCTATGCGTGTCCTCGTTCGACAATCCACTTCCCTTACTGATACTTTCCTACAGAGAACTTGAATTAGGCGACCAGCATGGACACTTATCATATACAACGTAGAACTAATTCCATTTCACGCCTGTCCTCTGTGTGGTTGTAGTATTTAACTGGTTGAGCCAGCCCATTCTAGTTGTAGCGGGTCTACCATTGTTAAGTTATTATTCAAGCATAACCTACCTACGATTTGCATTATATTAATTGTTTCTATTAATATATATCTTATCCTGTTTGACAGAATTTGCTTGCAGAGAAGAATGATAAATAATGAGGTGGAAAATGTAGCGAAATTGATCTTTGATTCTCACTCCTGGAGATCGTATACTTAGATAGAAGACGTAGTTGAGATAGTGTATTCTCTTTGTTCACACCATTGACAAAGAAAATTGATCAATAACATTCGAAAAAACAATTACTTTTCATTTAAATCACAGCATTATTAATTTTTCCTACAGTTGTATCCATTTCTTGGGTTTTCTTGCAGATGGCAAACAAATGAGCTTCGAACTTCAAAACGCTTATTTGGAAATTGTAAATAATACAGAGTGTAAGGTTAGATACAAAAATAATGGTGCTCGCTACAAACGTATTTCAAGTAATCAAATATGTGCCTCAAAATTAGGCGTTGACAGTTGTCAGGTAAGATATATCTCTATTAGGTGCTGTGTTGAGTGCAATTTCTTATTCTATAAACATTTATCGGGAGAGAGAAGGATGCCAGTATGGTTATGAGTGACCGCTGTCACAAATGATTTCATACTGGCTGTTCCCTTTTTTTCCAATTCATTTATTCGTCGTATCGTAAGTGAAGGTTTTTTTTTTTATTAAAGAAAGAATTATTCAAAATATGCTCTGATAGCTGACATCCTACGCCACGAAGTAGTGTGTGTTTAGGTTATATTACATTATCATCCAATTTTAAAGTCCAGTTAAACTTAAAAAGTCTTCGAATATTATGACAAAACTATATAATCTAGATGATTAATGAACTAGTTATTTTTTTTATTCTTTTTAGGGCGATTCAGGCGGACCCTTGGAGGCGTATTCAAACCGTATTCAATTTGTGATAGGTGTTACATCACATGGACATGGTTGCGCTGAAAGTAACGTTCCTGGTATTTACATTAGGGTTGCTAGATTTGTAAGCTGGATTCAACGAACTGTATGGAAGAATTGGGATTAGTCTACGTGCACCCTTAATTTAACAATAGCACTTATCAAAAATAATTGTTTTTGGAAGTCGGTTAAAAAATTAAACAAATGTAGGAAAAAATTGTAAATTGGTCAAATAAATATCGAAATCACTGACAAGTTTTAATTATAGTCCTTCGTATATTTTTGCGAATTGTTTTTCAGATAAAATTTCATTCACATAATGATCTTCGGGCCACACAATGTCTTCTATCCAATTGACAAAACTCGATACTTTAGTATAGACATTTGGGTTGTCAGGGGAGTCACAACCAAAGCTGGTAGACTGTATGCCTACTATATAATGGACTGTAAAGTCTGTATAATAAGGGTTAATAATGGGCATCATTAAAGGACCTCCTGAGTCACCCTGAAATAAAATCATAATTTTTCCGTTAACATTACTCTAAATAGTATATTCAAATCATTAAATGCTTTCCTCGTCTTTATGGTAAAAGTTACCTTGCATGTGTCATTGACGTTACAGTAATTTGAACAAATTTGATGAGGTAGTTGAATTGTATTTACATGTAACGCTTCGTTTAATTTCTCACTGCACACATTAGTATCTATTACTTCGACATCGTCTATCTGATATTCTGGTTGATGTTTCGAATCTGTGAATAAGAATTTAAAAATGCTTTTTCTGTGCTTGATTTTTATATCAGTTTTCACCAGGCATGTATAAATTCTTAACAAATAATTACCTGATTCGACGACACCCCATCCAGATTCATAGCCTTTTCCAAACAATTCATCTCCTTCATATGGCCAGATACATGATGGATTAGTAAATACTTTGAATGGAATTATATCTTCTAACTCGATTAGAGCTATGTCATAATATTTCGATGGTGGTCGGTAATTGTCTGGTACTATTACATTTTTTATATAAACATCTGTTGGTGTTTTTCCGAATTCAACCTGAAACAAATTATATTAACTACGCTCTATCGTATCGAAGGCTAAGACGAACTTTGGGTCGCTGCACCAGCGAAGTAACTAATTAACAGCTACATTTACGTACTTATTTGGTGTCGACAGAGTCTTACAGATACGTTTGGAATCTATAAGAATTACATGAATTCTGCTGTTTCGAATAACATGATAATAATATCACAATCAACAAAAATAAATAAGAAGGAAATACCGAGTCCAATATATATTTGTCTCCAAGTCTAATTATTTTGGGAGAGGGATTCATAACTCTGGTGTCGTTTGCAGTTGAGCAGTGCGCGGCGGTCAAGAAGAACCTATCGCTTATCATTACAGCACCACACAAAAATATCCAGGCTTCTCCATCTGTTTGCCAACCTATAGCCCCCTGGAAAAAATAAATCAGTCTACAGAGTAATAAGACTTTAGGGATGTTTCGGATTCGCATTAAGCTACATACGCTCAGTTTTATCTGAAAGTTTTATCAAAACAGTCGGATGGTTCAGATAAACTAACAGAACTGACCTTTTCTCAGTTTTGCTAGAAATATTTTAGGTAACAGGTTTGTTTTAATTTTATTTACCGTATGAGCAAATTTTCCCGTTGACACTTCTTTACCCCTGTATATGGCGAAACTGACGTATGCGCCTTCCACACCAGTTTTACCTTAAACCATAGGGCTTTATTTAATATTTAATATTTTGGTACTCATATTTTCCAGGAAAAAATACTCACATCTTATTTTTTTTAAAAGTAGTTGGTCGTAAAATCGCATTTTCCATAAATGTTCAAGACATTCTGAAATCGAAAGAATTTTTTTAGTAATCTTTCTAAACTCCCAAAACAACCAAAATTAAAAACATTGTTTTCAAAGATTAATTAGATGATTAATAATTTTGTTAATCTGTGAACACCTCCTGATTCTTGAGTCCTCAATTTGTAGTTAAATATAACTTTATTTTAAAAAAAAAACAAAGTTATCCGGCCCAGAGAGAAGTTTTTCGGTTAGTTCAGTCAAGGTAACAGTAATAGTTTTTAAGGAAGAGAACAAGACTGACATGACATCTACATCCCGAGAAAGGTTATGTGGTATTTTTTTGTTTTTGACAATAACGCTAAGCCATTACAGCGGTCGCAAACCTTTGAACGAACACACTACTGTTGTGCGATTGTCGATTGTTTCGCAGGTAATTCAACTGTTTAGTTGCACAAATAAAAATTGAGTGTGCGCACCTCCATATAAGCTTATAGGAATCAAAGCGAGACTAAGTAAGGTGTGAGCGAACTTAATTAGTATTACTTACGCTCACCGGGTCAGATACATTTGCCAGTTTATAAGCATATATCTCATTGATTATTGGTTTTGAAAGATCCTAATTGTATTACTTACTAACTTCACTAACGCGTCGATTAGGTGCTCTGAAATCTGGCAACTCTTGTTCCATGATACCGCATGACATTGTACGGAAAAGTTCATTTTGTGGCAGATCGTCTAATATTTTGAACAAATCACTAGTACGGTTATCGATTGCAGTCAACTTAAAAAAAAAACAATAAAATTATTCATATTATTAACAAATTGAGACATTATGAATAAAATTTTCTACATATTGCAGATGTCTATGGACAGCTGTTATTTAGCTCTTTTAGCGATATTAAGTTATCTCTTGTTAATTAGTTTTCTCGTACCATAAAAAATTGAACCACAAATGTTTTTTAGGTGTTCTTTTTATAATATAAGGTTGAAAACAAACAAGCGGCCATCTTAGAGACAGAGGACAAGATGCACGAAAACAGGATTTCGACATGAGTCTCTACCATTCCAATCCTTTCCTCGTACGTTAGAGGACTAAAATTAGACTTCGGGCCCAATGTTCAGATTGTACTCGGAATTGCTTCCACGCATGTTTTCTGTGTGGTGGTGGTATTGCACCGGACGATCATGCCCTACAGCGCGAAGAGATTTTATTTCAGTCTTTGTCTGTTAAATTTTAATTAGTATGTACTGTAAAATGATAACTTTATTACTTACAGTTCCGTTACCATGTCGTCTCTTGTACGGTATAAAATTTTTATATGACGTCACTTGTAGAAGGTTAGAAAAAATAATTGATGCTGAAATTCCATTTTACGAATTATTAAACCACGGTTTATCAAACTTTGTCAAAGCTTTTGTACACAATTTTGTCTGCTTAGTATTAAAAAAAAACCTTATTAATTAGTCTGTGTGTTCTTCTAGACTATGTTCTACAATTGTGCTAGATTTCGTTAAGATTCATTTAGCTGTACTGGAGATTTATAAGAGCAAACATCCATCCAAATATAAATGGAGAGCGTTGATTGATGAGGGGTTGATTTGTAATCTACAGATATTGGGGTCAAATCCTGCCATGTAAATATGTCATTTTCGATTTTAATATATACCCGATGCTCTTACAGCGAATGAAAATATTGTGATGGAACCTGCACGTATCGGCGAAGAAAATTCAAAGATATGTGTGAAGTCAACGAACTCGCACATTGCCAGAGTTGACTATGGCCTAGTCTCCCTTAAAATAGGCTTCGAGTCCTTCAGTGGAGACTTATAGAGAGCTGTCCAAATATAATATAATATAATATAATATATTACAATAGGGCAGCTCCTCTAAAGACAATCTAAAAATAGATATAAAAACTAATTCTACTAGGATACCATATTAATGGTAGACGAACCATGACATTGTATAACAATGTAAGGAAAATAAACATCATGTACAAATAATAACACATTATGTGTCTTTAATTAATTTAGTTAAAGGAAAACAGACTATAAGGAAATAACAAGTTCTAATTATCAATTTCGTTGCAAATAATATTAAATTTGAATTCACAAACACTGTTTCATATATTATTATATTATAATCAGTTGTTACTAATAATAAGGCCATTTTTATGTCCTTATTAAGGTTTAGTAAAGCATGTACACTGACCGGACATAGTGGGATAAGATCAGGGAATGATGAATGACATTAGAATAATTAAAAAAAAAATTACCAGTGAGTAAATATAAATAAATTAACAAAATTCATACAAAGTTCGCAAATTTATCTAATAAGAAAACATTAAGAAATAAACATACCGAAAAAAATTCTTAGTACAAATAACACAGATCTCTTTAAGTGATTTGTCATTTTATTCAACACAAACGCGTCCGTCATAGAATAATGTTACATAACAAATGCGAACAAAATAAATGAAGATGACGTGACGTAATTATGTAGTTTTTTTATTTATTTGACTTTATAAATGTGACTAAGTACAGTCAAGGAAACTGGTGGTGGTCAACTACAGGCTATAATATTTTGAACATCTTGAAACGAGACGGAACAAAAACCGACACAATACAGCTTCAAATATGTCTGTATGAAAAAAAAGTTGATTAGTGATACACGGCTAACTGTTTTTATTATCCCTTAGTTTGCACCATTCACTGGTATCTAATTGGTTATTTGTATGAAAAGGCGGAGTTTGTCTGGTTGTAATAAACAAGGCATTTTTTAAACCTTGGGCCACCGACGTCCTTGTACATAGAAATCCGTATCACAATTTGTTCAAACTTAAATAAATAAATAAGATTCAATTAGGTTATGAACCTTAAATAGTTGTAAAGATTAACGTAATGTGTAAGGCACTTTAGTATAATGTCAGTAACCAGACTGGTTACTGAAGGTCAATTATAATGGGTTCATTTTGTTTTTTTATACGTATTCTCCGACGTCGGGTCATATAGACGATAATACATTTAGACCAACATAAAATTACGTTACTCTCGAATTCTCTTACAGTCGACACTTCACCCTCTATCTATATTCAATACTTAATATAATAAAGTGTAAACACACACTATTTTATGGCAGAGAAGTCAGCAATCACGGTATATGTTTGAAAAATTCTTTCTAATAAGCCTTACACTTACGACACGCTTTATGCTATTTATTTTTACGCTATTAAACTTAGGGGGTAGATAAATTGGAAAAAACCTTCATCTGGGAAAGGGACCATAAACTAAAAGCTGCCAACATTAAGGAAACAAAGTTAAAGTTATTGTGGTAACGTAATTTTGACATTTGCAATTGAGAATTTGACAATGGTAAAGAGTACTCGTAAAATAATGTTTTTATAATTTCATGCGGATGAAGTCCCACGGGTACAGCTAGTTTGGAATAAAACCTTCATGTGAGAAAGGGACCATATCCGTGGGGAACCCCAAGAGAGTGGAAAAATATAAAATAGATATAAAATTACTTTGAATGATTTACATGAAAAGGTGCTACACCTAGCATAGATCAGATGTCGTCGAAGATCATAACAAAATTACTTGGTTTGATTTCGTACGGCAACATTTTATGGCCAGTTTCCCAGTATAAGTACGTACGTACGTAACTCGAGTTTTATTCCATTGAAACTTAGGTCGTCATACAAAAGAATCACTACGTAATGATAAAATAAAAGGAATCTTCATCAACCCAACAGTAATTGCTTATTTTGATAACTTTATGACCTACAAGTTTTTATTCATATATACAGATAATCTAGGTACACTAAGATCGGACTAATTAACTCAAGGTTACAGTCAAAGCCATTTAAGAAAAATATTGACTAGACATAGGGAACAACATTTTTTTACCGGTAACTTCTTAGAAAGGTACTATGTTACTTGTCAACTTTAGTACGCCACCTGATGTTTTTGTCTGACATTTTATAAAACAATTTACAAAATCATAATAAGCGCCATCTTTTGTCATAAAATAAACTAAACAGTGTGAAAAAATAAAACATCTGTTTAAATTTTGTTTAGTGACATCTATCGGCAATTTATATCAAAACAATTATATTGACGTGTGGCTTTGAGGACCTATCAATAGCGTTCGTGGATCTTGTGAAAAATGTCTGAAGTGAAGTGTCAACTATGCTTCCTCTATATATTTTTTGAATCTATTTATACTTAAATAATATTACGTAGCAGTCTGTATTTTGTGTTGTCATTAGCAATCTTTACGTAATGTGAAAACATACAGACGAATTAAGTACCTCCTTCTTTTGGAAAGTCGGTCAAAAACGGTCAAAAAAGAAATTTCAAAAGAGTAAATTTTCATTAAACAAAGAAGGTGAGGTAATAAATGAAAGGTGATGAAATATATTTTAGTAATTACATTTATTACAAAATCATGTTTTGTTACAAAGTTACACTATTATCTTGTAAATCATGTTAACTAATGTATAGAAACTTTGCCGATAGGCGCATGACGTCACACGTTAACTTCGGATACTTCGCAGACTTCCTACACACGGCTAATACACTTGAAGTATCTTTATAAAGCTATATTTATAATCTTTTGTATCTAAATTTTCTCTAATACACTCAAGAGCATTGAATCCGGGTCACTTAAATAAAAAAAAAACTGGTAAACTAAGAATGAAATAAACGAAGTTCAATACTCCTTAAATTAAGATCCTAATACTTCTACACTCTCAGAGGAATAGGAGATTAAAAATGAAAATCGTATAACAAACTTGGTGTACAGAATACTAAACTGGTTAAACGCTACAACGTACTTCATTACTGTGAAAGTACAAGAAGGCAACACAAACATATTAAATTTCAAAAAAATTACATTATTGTACAAAAATAGCATTTTTTGATTTTCGTATTAAGGCAAGATGAGTTGTTTTTTTATGTCATTTTAAATCAATAAACTGTACTGGCTTATAAAAATTATTATTTTTTAATTTAAAGGGGTATATGTCTATTAAACATTGTTTATTCCAGTAAGTTTTTTAAGTGACCCGAATTTAATGCTCTTGAGTGTAATATTGTACTTTTATCATACGAATGATAATAACATACACATACGTTATCTTGAGCGATAGAGAAAGAACATTGCAATTACTTCTTGTCAACTTCTGTCTCCCAAGAATTCATGGCGAATACAACTCTTTGGTATCTGGCAGAAGTAAGATGTCTTCTAAAAACTCGTAAAATTAATTTTTTTTATTCACTCTCAAATAATCCTCTTCCCATACGATACTTTCGATCCAATCCAGAAAACTGGAAACTCTGGTGTAGACACTCGGAGTGTTAGGACGTCCACATCCATAACCGAAAGACGTAACTCCAAGTACATAATGCATGTTCCAATCTGTAAAACCTGGCATTTTGATTTGCATTTGCAAGGGACCTCCAGAATCACCCTGTAACAATTGTATAGTTTTTTGAGAAAAAGAAAAGAGCAAAACAATTAGAATAAACGATCAACAGTTAAAAATAAAACTAAAACCGAGAGCAGATGAGTTGTCGTTGATGATAATAAGGATTTTTACACAAATTGCTTTTTGTAGATATATTATGATGACCTTGAAAACTATCTGAGAATATCCAGTGCAAACACTTATTGTCACATCCCCTCATTTTCGTTGAAAAAACAGTTGGGAATAGAAAATTTTAACAGGTATTCGGACATTAAAAGCCTTAAATTATTTAATAGTTTCCATTGAAATATTCATATTGCATGATGCTTACCTGACAGGAATCAATTCCACCAGCTAAGTGTCCGGCGCACATCTGGTGATAGACCAGACCACGCCAGTTGCGATTGCGGCTGGAGTGCAGCAGTTTGTCACATTCCCGCACCGGTACCACGTCCACCTCCGCAAATTGTAAAATGGGATGCGATTGTTCGCTACCTACAAACATTTCAAAAATATAAGATGGGATGAATAGCATGCAACAAGAAGGACCTTAGCTATGAGTGTGGAGGTACATCGGTACAGATAGATCTAGAAAGAGGTAGATGGATTGCGTGAAAGGCAGTGATGACATGACTATCAATCAAAGAAATAATTACTTCATTTGGTTTTAAGCAATTAAGAGCCAAATCACTTAATGTATGCATTTTAGTAAAAACAGGAACCTAGAAGACGAACTCAAAAGACTACTAGTCATAGAGGAGGTATACGTGGTGATGAGAAAAGTAAAGAGAAAAATTTAGGCAGTTTTGTTGGTTTCAATTGAGTATTGTTTCTTCGTCACATATTACGCTATACCTCAGACGATGATAGTTCTTTAGGTAAGCCAATTATAAATGAAACACAAACCTGCTTCGGTAATACCCCATCCAGTAAGTGCTGCCTTTCCAAATACTTCTTGATAAGGATTCGCCCAAATACACGCGGGATGGCTTTTCAAAGTAAACGTTATGGGTGTCTCTAGTTCTATTACAGCAATATCATAGTATTTTCTAGGAGCTCGATAATATGGATGCACAATAAATCTCTTGATAGCTGTATCTTGAGGTGGTTGTTCATCTAGACTCTGTGGGAATTAAAAATCAACTATGAAGAATTGTATGTGTATGATTTACTTAGGTATATCTACTTTAATTATTGATAGGCTTTTGAATATGATAATATAAAAGTCGATATGACATCCGATGGATGAATCTGGCATCGTCTATTTTGATATTGTTGGTCGAAATTTTTGCTTTGGGCTTTCGAAGTAAACTCTGATTCATATCTGTCTCTTAACATCTAGTAAGAAGTAATCTGCATTTACTTTGTCTATAGACAATATGGTTTTAAATTCAATAACATTACTTACTTTAAACCCAATATTTATTTCACCCACTCGTACTATTTTAGGCACTGGATCTATGATTTTGGAATCACCTCTCTTCGTTCGGGAACAATGTGCTGCAGAAAGCATGAACTTTTCTGTCACCAGTGTACCGCCACATTTGAAGACCCAAGTGGCGTTTTCTGATTTCCATCCTATCGCCCCCTTGAATCAATGTTATTTTCCTTTACATAAATCTCTCTAGGTAATCTGGTATATTGGACTGAATAAAGTTTTGGAAGAACAACGGAAGAATATTATCAAGAATAGTTAAACGTAACTTGGAAACCGACCATTAATAAAGAATCTAAGGATCAATTAGTAAGAAATTAAAATTACCATATGAGGAAATTGTCCGGGTGATGCATCTTGCCCTCCGAATATAACGGTCAAACTGGGATCAAATGTGGCGCCACCTGGAGTTGATGAAATACGTTATTATTTTTTTACTATTTTTTTTTAAATGGGGACAACTAAAAAAACTTTACTCAAGATATATGTAAATACATTTAATTGGATTAATGGAATATGTTACTGAATTTTGCGATTTATTTTTTGTCCCTGAGTACATCATTTATTTTATACTAGTAAAGACAGTCTCTTGATAATAATTTTAATGAATTATATTGGTGATAAAAACTTACATTTAATAACTCTCACAAGTGAATGATCGTAAAACCTCATCCGCCACAAGTATTCAAGGCATTCTGAAACATTGAAATATATCTATACTAGTAAAATAAAGCGTAAACACACACTATTTTGTGGCGTAAGATGTCAGCAATCACAGCATATTTTTGAATAATTCTTTCTTTAATAAAAAGCCCTATACTTACGCCACGCTTTAGGCTATATATTTTCACGCTGTTAAACTTAGAGGGTAAATAAATTTGATAAAAATGCTCATGTGGGAAAGGGACCATAAGCTACAAACTGCCAACATCAAGGAAGTAAGTCATTTTGACATTTGCAATTGATAATTTGACAAATGTAAACAATAAAGTAAGATTTGCATAAATTCATGGTGATGAAGCGGCACGGGAACAGCTAGTTGTAACTAAAAATGTCAGATTAAACATAGATTAGAGCTAGAGATAGGCAATTTTCACATTTCAGCTTAGAGAGTGGACCTTTGACTAAAGTATCGTATAATTGTTGTCTTGTTTATTCCTATGAGCTTACATGGAGGTGCTCACACTACTCGATTTTTACTTGTGCAACAAAATTGCTGAATTGGCTGTGAAACAATCTACAATCGATTTGATCGACTATGCAATGGTTTAGTCAAAGGTGTGCGACCGCTTTTATACTAGATTAAAATTTTTATGACATATAAAATTTAAAAGAAATACGGATTCGCGTTATGTAGACGATCCCAAAAAGCCTTTTTACTATCTCATTAAAAAGCCTATGAAATTAATATCACCCAAATATTCTTGATAATCTTAATTATTACACTTTTTATCTCACTAATATTATAAATGTGAAAGTTTTGGATGAATGAATATATGTTTATTTGAAATTGTAACCTAAATTGCTAATCGGATCTCGATGAACTTTGGCATAGATGTAGACGACATTCTGGAAGAATACATAGGCTACTAACTTTTGTTTTATTTTTTAATCTACGAGGACAGAATCTCGGTCGAAAGATAGAAAAAATAAATACTTACTTGTCTCGCTTATTCTTCGGCCAGGTTTAAAAAAGTCTGGCATCGTCGATGAGATCGGATCACACGAGTCCGGATCGAAATCCGGATCGATCTGGTCTAGTTCAGTGAATAAATTCTCTGATGTTAGATGAACCAAATTAAGCTGAAAATAATAAAAAAATGTCAATACCTTTTCTAAAACTATATAAGAACATATTAAAATTAATTTGGATAAAAATTATCTCGAACGAGCTGCTGGTCGCGACTTAGACCGTGTGGAATTACAAAAAAAGTTCAAAATGTAATTCAGTAATAACACCTTTTTATTGGCGATACAGTCTTTTAAATAGGCCCATTACTTTCTGAGTTATTTCAATACATATAAAAATCTAATTCTTTCCTCTTTATAATATCAAGTAAGGGTATCTTACTAATATTATAAATGCCAATGTATAGATGGATGTTTGTTAGAGATTGTAGCCCAAACGGCTGAACGGATCTCGATGATATTTCGTACAGATGTAGAGGATAGTCTGGAAGAACACATAGGCTACTCGCTTTTGTTTTCCTTAATTCCACGCGAACGGACTTGCGGGCGAAAGCCAGTAGATTATAACACAAAAACACTGTTTCAACCTCTTTTCAACAAATCCAGTAAACATCTAGCATTCAAATAAATATTTTAAACATCAATACTTACGGTTTGACTTGCATTGACATAGTTTTCAATCCGATTGAAGTTTCTTTTCGCTGATACTAAGTTCAAAATGTACACAGTAACTGAAAAATTGTAATTAAATTTAGTCATACATTTTTAGGCCTATGTCTAAAAGTTATAGGCATATTATCATCAGATGATGATGTTATTTAGAATATTGGATTAATTTTTTTCATGGACATCTTCTTTGAACAAAGTAAACACAGAAATTACCACAAATATTATAAGGAAAAAATTACAAGAAAAATACGTTGTCTACTAAATTATAAGTGACGTAAATCTTACAAAAAAATATTTTTTAATTATTTGATTAATAAAATGCTAGTAATGGTAATTGTTACGTACCATAAATAATTACTAGTTGTTGCAAAAAATATTCTATTCTTGATTTTAACATTTTAATATTGTTTTTGATTCGAGATGAATACGTGTGGGTCTTGTTAAATGTCCATTGCAAATGTGACCAAGAATGCGATGTCACTAGTTAGACTGGTTTAAGTCTTGTAACGCAGTGGAAGCCATGCTAAACTTTTTTTTATCTATACTAATATAATAGTTACTAATATTAACAGTGGTAGAGCCCGATTAAACATCTTCGCACGAATGGGCCCGCTCGCCTGGTGGAATACCACGACCACGCAGAAAACAGGCGTGAAGTGGAAGCAATTCCGCGTTCATTTCGGTGGATTCAGGTGGCCGCTTACTTGTTTGCCACTTTACATTATATAAAAAATATATTGTAAACAGGAAGGATTTATATTTTGATATGTACTAGAATATTTCAAAAACTACTCGGCCGATTTTAAAAATTCTTTCACCGTTAGTAAGGTAATTTATCTGTGAGTAGAATATGCTGTATTTTTTAATTACTCGCGTACCAAGTCGTAACAGCTAGTAACTACTTATATTGTCGCAGATATAACGTCAAATTCAGGTTCCAATGCCAGTCACTTGTTTAGAAACAGTTTTAATGTTATTAATTTGATAGGTAGAGTAAGATTTTTTTGTGTCTTAATTAAACCGAATATGAAGGTTGTTTCAATTGTAATTTTTCTTGGATTATTTTTTTAATGTAGATAGCATTTAGTTTAATACAGAAAGCATAAACTTGTTTATTATTTTTTTAGTCTGTAGACAATAGCAAATAGGATATTAGATTTTTTTGCAAAATAACGTTTACAAACATAATTGTTTTAATTAATTTAAATATGATTAGACCTGCTTCTTTAATACAGAATAAAGTACACATAAATATGTATTGTTCTTTTTTATCAGTGGAAGCCTACGGTTATGAAAGGCGATTAGTTAGTTCTGATATGAATTTGGTATTTTTTTTCAACTTCTACAGACTCTTGGTCCGTACTCTTTTTTGCACAGTTTGTTTTTTAATGTACATTTTTTTCATTAATACAATTATACTACTATAAAACAAAATTTTTACTTATGTGTTTCAAACAGTTGAACTGTACAGTTACAACTGACGTTTAAAATACATACACACGTCAGATTTAACCGTGTAGATCGACGTTCAGTTAAGCTGGTAAGGCTTATCTAAAGGTGTGTAGTCTTGTCTTTCCGACATCTAGCTTTGTTTTGCCTCATGCTGTCTCTGTTCACTTCAAAGAAAAAGAAAGGGATAAAACTATGTGCCAGTTCCATGCAGATAGATACAGTTTGATATATGTATTTTGATATATGTATCTATGTATTTGAAGGACAAACCGGCGCGTAATCTTTATTTAAATCAGTGCGTATTTTCCGTCGTCAGTAAATATTCGTGTAGTGTAAATAACATACATAAATTAAATGTGGGATTTTTTTAATGTTATATGTTACGGTCTTTGGAATACCTGTGATTCTATTTATGGTACAATATTTAAACTGGTTCTTACGTTTGTTTATCTTACTAATGTTATAATTGCGAAAGTTTAGATGGATGGATGTATGGTGGCGTTTTTAGCCTAATCGGCTAAACGGATATCTATGAAATTTGGCATAGACGTATAGGATAGTCTGCAAGAACACATAGGCTACTTGCTTTTATTTTTTTTTTATTCCATGCGGACGGAGTTGTGGGGGAAAGCTAGTAATAAAAATTTCTCAATAACATTTGAGATTTGGTAATATATGTGAATTGTAATATATTACTATGACGTCACAATATTATTAGTTATATGTTCTTGAACTAGTTTTGTTATTTTTACTAAAGATTCAAGTAACCACTTCCTTAAACGCTGGGACTTGTTTTCGTTTTAGCTTTATAAGGAAATATTAATTAATATGTTTTCTTGACGATTTTATATTAAGTGAGGTTAAGTTAGCTAATAATACATAAATGTAGATTATCTATACTAATAGTATAAAGAGGATAGATTTGTATGTTTGCATTTTTGCTTGTATTGGAACTCAAAAACGAATTGGCAGATTTAATAAATTCTTTCACTATTAAAAAGTTACGTTATCAGTGAGTAAAATAGGCTATACCTTTTCTTTTTTTTAATTTATTACGAGAAAGAGCTATGTTTTTAACATGTAAACTTTTGTATGCTTACGTTTTATTAAATAAGATTTTTTTAGTCGTTTCATTACTACAAACAGTCAGAATTCAAATAAGATACAGCTAAGCAACTGCAGTTAAAAAGCCTCTCCTGTTATGCCAGTTTAATACGAGACAAAGCAGTACGACAGTGCGGTAATGCTGTTGGTTGAAACCACAGTCTACTGCTCTGCATCATTGTGCTATCTTGTGATACCGCGCCAATGTTTGGCTTTGCGCCAATTAAATGTACTCGGCCATTGACCTGTAGTAAGCGATTGAAAACACTTGATTTATAAAAAAATCTAGTTAATGTTGGGTATTGTAATGTTATAATTAAAGTAATTTTTTTTATAACTAGCGGTTTCGCGCGACTTCGTCCGCGTGAAAATAAAAAATAATAAACAACATATAGACTATGTTACTCACAGATAACTTTCTAAAGATGAAAGAATTTTTAAAATCGTCCCAGTAGTTTTTGAGTTATTTCAATTAATACAAAAATGCAAACTTTTCCTCTTCATTCTTCTTATATTAGTATAGATTGAATTATTTCTAGCTTTAGATACCAAATGTTTGCTAATTAAACTTCCTTCCTAAATATATTTAACAAAAAACTAACTTTAGTATTATTTCATAATCATTACTTCATCACCAGCTCACTATATGTCCCCACCGAGGGTCTCGCAGCCTACCCTAAGTAAGGTAGACATCTAAAATATAAATAAATATAAAAAAAATAATTAAAAAATCTTATATTATATAAAATAACTAATTCATAAAAACTAAATTCATTAAGCCTCTAAGTTAAACTAGTTAAAACAAACAATTGGACGGAGCACTCAAGTCCCTAGACTAATAAATATCCAATGATTTCAGCATCCAATTCGCCTGCTAGAATCTGCCCGCCGGGAGTCGTGCATTACCATTCGATACGACACAATTATATTTCTCACAAGAGGACGATTTAAAAAAACTCCGACTCGTCTGTTTCTTGAAGCAAAAAGAACACAATTTAGTCTGTTTGTAAGCGGGACAGCGTTGTTAGTTATACAGCTGTTCAAAGTATATCTTTAGGTTCTTAAAGCGAGTGAGATATATCAAATGATTTATTTAAAACTAGTTGATGTTCGCGATTTCGTTTACTATCAGATATCCAGTAAACGCTGCGCCATGAACAGTCCAACCGTTTGACTGCTCGGAACGCGGATTTGCGGACCCACAGTCAAAATGTTTAAAAATGTATAGAAAAATGCAAGATGTTTGGGAAATTTTATTTATATATAGATTATGTCTTAATAAAATAATATGGTGAAAATGTTATAATCAGTAAAACAAGGTTTTTTTGGTATGATTTTGTTTGGAAAAGAAAAAATTATAGAAAAGAAGTAAGTATATGGCACCAAAATTCAAAATGGCAACACAAATTAAATGTGTTTCAAAATTGGGATATATTACTTCAAATCCTTATAACAAAATATTTGACAATCTTACTAATCTTACTAGTCTTACAAATATTATAAATGCAAAAGTTTATATGGATATTTGTTACAGTTTGTAGCCTAAACGGCTGAATAGATCTCAATGAAATTTGGCATAGACGTAAATGATAGTCTGAAAGAACACATAAGCTACTCACTTTTGTGTTTTTTTAAGGCCTACCGAAAAGAATCACGGTCGAAAGCTAGTAAAAACATAAAAATCATCGTAATCTTCGCTAATTTAAATACCAACCTACATCCAATTAAAACATTAGCGGACTTAACGTCACTTTCCGATGCCGAGTTCTTGCAAAACTGATAAAACTTTCAAGACAGTAAATAAGAGACAGCGCTAAACATCCAGTTTAATTAGACCCGTGACATGACAACGAATTAAATACGAAGATAGAAATAAAGTGACAATTAAACAGGGTCTTCCAGATCCTGGTCACTCAGAGAAACTGTTAACGTCAAAACGTCTAGCATTCAATTAGCTTTCAGACGAACTAATTGTACTACTAAATAAAATTAATTTTACAGCTGTATTCAGAAAAGACTTATATTTTTTCATTAGTGGATACCATGTCTCTACTTATCTTTGACTAAATATTGATAGCGATCTCGCCCACGTGAAATTAAAAAAAATTAAGCCGATATAACTGATAAAGTAGCTTTAAAATGGCGAAAACAATTTTTGAAATCGGCCAAATAGTTTTTTAGTTATTTCACATACAAAAATACCAATCTTTCCTCTTTATAATATTAGTACAGATGTACAAAAATCAATTCACCGATAGCCCTTAAAAATGATAGCTAAATCAGTTAACGACAATAATTGAATTAAATGTGAACAAATATATTTTGTTAAGTAATCGATAATAGGGATCGGAAATTATTTTATCCTTATATTCAATTCAGTTTATTTCCTTCCTATACAACAATGTGACCACAGATAATATAGACGTAACGTCAGCTGTTACAATCACGTGTGTACGCCAATCAATGGTCCAGTACGTCAACGTGTGCTGTAATTGAAACTAGCTAACACGTCAAGGCAAATGCGTTGTACATCGCCTACCAATCAGTATCCTCAGTCTAATTGCACATGTGATCCTGAGCTTAGTTAAAACTACATCACTGATGTAAAATGTTTGGATCAAATCAATATTACTAATGTTGTTTGTTTTTTTTTTTTGTAAACGAACAACCGGCCACCTAAACCCCTTGAAATGGCGAAGCAATGCTGCCCATAGACATTCGCAATTGCAGATCTCTTGCCTACGCGGAATAGGAGACGAACATAAACAGGATTTTTCCTCTTCCTATGCGTATCCTTTACCGTCAAATCCATTTAGCTCTCGCATCCTTTCCTTTTAAGAAAAGGATGCAAAGTCAAAGGGACTAAAACTAGGCATCCGGCACCACACTCATCAGACGAAACGCGGAATTGCTCCTACTTCACGCCTGTGTGTGTGGTCATGGTATTCCACAGGGCGAGCAGGCTCTGCAGCGGGCTCTACTACTGTTAAACTACTCAATATATTCTACGTTTTTCTTCTAAGAGTCGTACTTTAACTGAAAATAGTAATAGATCAAGAATTTCTCACAACTTGTAAGTGTTCAAACGTTTTATTTTAACTCAATTATAATAGAAGGCTTATAAATTCTCTTTGTAGTTAAAGGTATTTCTTTAAAATATCTGTAGACTTTAATTTATTTTATCTAGTCTCGTAGAATACTCTACAAAATTGAAACATTATTTTAATATAATTACAGGCAACAGTGGAGTCGAGACGCATAACACATTCTAGTCGTCCCTCGAATTTAGAGCGGGCGTACATCTTTGACTAAACAATCGCATAGCTGTTATGTGATTGTCCATTGTTTCGCTGCCAATTCAACTGTTCTACACAACCAAAAATCGGGTAGTGTGCACACCTCCATATAAGCTCATAGGAATCAAAGCGCGACTAAATAGTTGTGCGATAGTATAATCAAAGGTGTGAGCGCTCTTAGCTGAACGTCTGAGACAATGTCCGCAGTAAACAAGGAATATTTAAACAGCGACAACTATTCAAGCTATCTTCTTTGATGTTGCCGTTATGCTCCGCTCTCGCTACCAAATGAATTATGTTAAAATAGTTTGCGTAAAGCATCTCGCTATGTTTGGTATTCAAAAACTGGTTTGTGACGTGAAATATTACAATGATTTTATCGTAGTTTAGCTAGTAAATAGATAAATATAGATCAACAATGCCGAAATAAGCTAGCCCTTGAATAATTAGAAGTATTTTTTTACGTTTTGTAAATGTCACGTAACTTGAATACACAGATTTAATATTATATAAAATGTCTAATTCCTTGATAAGAAAATCGGAAACTTTCCAGAGTATAGATAATTTAAAAAACCTCATTCAATTTAAACATTGAAAATATCTGAGTTTTCAAATCCGCAAGAGGGAAAAGTGGATCAAATTTTCTTTTTACAATTTGTACGACGCTTCGTTCAAACAACGATTAAGGACTCCATTTGTAATATCTCAAACGTTCGTGGCTAGAATTCAAAGTTGTGGATTTGAAAGACATAATTTTTTATTTGTTCAATGTATGTCGAAGAGTTTTTTTGAGGACGTTTGAGGATTGTCTGAGAGAAAAAGATGTAATTGTACTTACAATGTTAGAATCCCAGTTGCCTATTGATAACGATTTTTATTTATTACAATCATCAACTTGCCCTTGTCCCTATGGAAGATCGGCGTAGTACATGCCGCTCTTCTATATTTAGGTGTCATATCTGAATCAACTCCCTTCTTAAGCATACGAGTATCTTCTTTCACACAATCTATCCATACTTTCTACAGTCTTCCTCTAGCCATCTACATTCAATCTTAATACTTTATAGCCCTTTGTGTAAAAAAATCTTTTATAGAAAGTGTCAGTTTAATGATTTAACTTACTTATTACAGTTCTTCTTGAAAACGGTTTATTTTCTGGGATTTGTTTTATGACACTTATCTATAGTGCAATCCTGGAAATTAATTTAAACATAGGAGCTGGTATAGACGGAATGTTCCATATTATGCTACTGTATGGACAAGAAATGGTTGATAATCTATAGTGCAGTCCACAACTGATAACTTTATCGCCACTTTTTATAGTGTCATTCTTCGGAGACAGATTCATGATTTGCACACACTGCGGCCTCAGTAACGTTACAAGCGATTGGCTAGCAGCCAAATCGTTCGCAGACTGTTACATTCCAGGTTTTGCCTGCAATGACAGCTTTTAATTCCATTGCAGTCAAATTTGTCAAAACATTTCGTGCTAAGACAAATTTAAACTTTAGTACTTACAAATGAAAACTTCACTGATACTAGTTTATTAAATTACTTTCAAATTAGCTACGACGTGTTGTCTAAATTGTAATAAATGAAACAAGTTGTTATTTTGTATCTTTATTAAGACCATCAAATTTTAAAACATTGAGTTATATTAAACACTTAACAATGCTAAGGCCCTGTCCCACCAATGGCTGATAAAGATAGCTTAAAAATAACGTCTCTGTCGGATAAACAAAATCCGATATTTCCATGACATATTTTACACGTTCGATTGTTAACAGACAATTTACAATTTGGTGGGACAGGCCCTTAATCTTCACTAAAAAACATTAGCGACCAGTAAACGACTCTGGATATGACGATAAGACGGTGTAAGCAATCATTAACAAACATTATAAAATAATCTTAAACAAATAAATAAAAAAAACACAAGTAATAAAATATTGCAACTACATAATAAAGTCTGCGTTACTCGGGTGAGAACCTAATTAACATAGTATGGGACAAAGAGGTTAAAACTCGTCGATAACAGGCCCTCGTTCTATCAGCAGATAATGCACAAAATTACCTTCTACATAAAAACTAGTTTCGACTATAAATATCAACAGTGCATATGATTTATAATGAGCAAAAAACATGGTAAATATCAGACTTAATAATTTCACAATTTGGCTTCTATTCTAAATCTAATTAATACAGAAAACATTTAAACCCCGCTTCCAATAAGACTAGATGCGAAAACATACTGGCCGCAACTTGCGTAAAAATAGCAATCGCTTCCAGCTAGTACAAACTAATCGCTTAGTGGATTTACGGCTTAACAATTACAATATAAGGAATAACGACAAATTCTTACGCTAAATGTCTCTGTCACAGCCATTTCATTTGACTAGAGAACTGTCTCGTAATACGTATAATACTGGGTTTCCATTGATGTAATACAAAGCTAAATACTTCGTGTATTCGTCTCAATAAGGAGTTATATCTGCAATTACATCTAAATTCCTAGAACTTTGTAAACATGTTTGTTGTAAGAAGTTGCATTGAATTTGCAGATTTTCTATCGTAATTTTGCTCGTTTTATTAACTCCCAATTGACTCTTATTTTTCATAATATTATATCTTAATGACTTGTATTACGCTACACTTGTGAAACTATTGTCAACTAACATGTAAAGATAAAAAATTGCAACATTATTTTCTAAATTGTATCATTTGGCTGAACACTAAGAGTGGGAGCACACGCACACCTTTAATTAAAGAACTGTTTGATTGTCGATTGTTCCGCAGCCATTTCAACTGTTTAGTTGCACAACAAAAAAGCGTTATTAGTCAAAGGTGTGCGCCCGGTCTAGAAATCGACCATCTAAATATAATACTACAATCTTACCTAATTACAATAACAGCGTATTTTCACAGCCCATTTTGGCTTTTAAATTTCTAGTAAAGAAATTTAAAGTGCAGTTCCTAGCAAATTTTATAAAAGTTGGAATACTATGACATTATAACATAACTAACATTTGTCCTCAAGATTATCTGTCCAGTAAAACAACTACTATGGTTTATTAAAATCAATAAATATCGAAAAGGAATTTAATATTACTATCTAGATTAGTATTAATTTCAAAGCTTGACAAATTACAATTTTATTCTTAACAATATGCTCTCATTAACAAAACTGAATATGGAGTATTAAGTTTCAATATCTTTTAAGATAATGTTATTAAGGTGTTGATTGCAAGATTTTTTGATTCCGTCAAATGAATATGAAATCGTAAATTCTTGATTCATTGTTTAAGAATCCCCGCTGTCTACTGGGAGAAATTGCTGCTGCGCCACAGATGACAGAACCATGTCAATAGGCTTAGTGTCATCGTACAGAGAAGGAGCCTCGCAGAGGATTGCGAAAGTGCCGACAATCGAAGCGATGGTGAAAATCCAGAGGAACAGCCTGTCCAGTACCATTGCGACGAAGCCCCAATCTTGATCTTCCTAGATAACAAAAAAAAAATAATGAAGACACACGAAGTCTCACGATTATTTTTCTAGATTTACAGCATGTAAGTAATAGATAGGTCGACGTTCTAGTAAAGTGATGGAAGACGAAAAGTTCTTAAAGAAAAAAAACTTTGAAGTCAATTTCTATGTCGCTGACTTTGAACAGAACTGGAAGTCGTCTACATTTTCATATCATCTTTCGACCGTTCATTAGAGATACTCAATTGATTTTAGTATAGATGGCGATAGATTATTACTTGAGAAAACAATTTTTGAACATGTTATCTTTTTTTCATTCTAACTCACCGCATTGAATTCATCCTGTCGCTGCATGTGGTGTTGTATAAACATAACGTTGTGGATAGCTTTCTCCAGTTCGAAGGGATACTTCTTACGAGGGGCGACATCGCTCAAAGAATCATCGAGACCGGACATAACCGAGGGCAGGCCGTTGTAACCCGCGCCCAGACTACCAAGAGCTCCCACCAGTCCACTGAATCTGTTAACAACATTTAAATAGATTAATAAGGGATAACAATTAATTACTGACTATATCACGTTTTGCATCTTATTGTTTTATGATCTAGGATGTCTTCTATCAAAACTGCTATTCTTTTTTTGCTAAAATTGGCTCCGTTCACTTTCTTTCCTTTAACTTGGGTATCAGAAAATCTCAACATAATTTAT